TCCGAACGTGTGGTTCTGTCGATTAATTTGATTGTTGCGGCTTCGTGAGGTCTATTTTCTAACTCTACCTAATCTTTGGTTTCGTTGCTCTTGTTGATGCTTGAATGGAATGTATGGTTGATTCTCTGTTTGCATTTTGATTTTAATAAACTTTGCCTTTGTCTTATTTTGTGGGGGTTAGCTTATCTTTTAGTTTATTTATTATTTATCTCATTGAAGAAAGTGATTATTGATATAATTAATTATACAGTAAGCCCATGGAAATAATAATAAATTAAAAGTTGCTTATGGCCGTGCTTAGAACTGTTAGAGCCTTTTCATTGTTTCAGGCACGTCTTTGGGGTTGGTTCGAATTAACAATTACTGCAGGACCGCAAGAATTAAACAAATAGGCAAATTTTAGGATCTCACTCGGGTCGGGAGACATATATTATACCGTTTAAGCTTGCCTTCCTTCGAGGTGAAGGTTGCCCCTTTAGTTGATTAATTCATCCGAGGATGCCCTGTAGAGTTTGTATATATTTTTATGCTCTTTTATACGGAGGAATGCCCCGAAGTGAATATAAACGGAGGCCGAATCTATATCGTGGAGGAAGCATAGTGTAGGATAGATCAGAACTCTTAGTATATTTTCTTTTAGTACTTTATTTTCTTTTCTCTTATTTTTTTTATTAGGTGGGGACGACCTCGAGTCGCTTTTGTGTTTATTTTTCTTTTCTGTGTTTTTACCCCAATTGAATATTTTTAAAAGCCAACTTGATCATGTACGCAACTGTACTAGTTCCGGGACTCGGGGAATGCCTAACCCCTTCTCTCCGAGTCAAATGAACCCCCTATCTAGAATCTCTGGTGCAGTCAGTTTTGGAGTCTTAACATGTTTTTAAGGAAAAATTATTTTTTAAACGGTGACTTGGCACACCTAGATTCATGTCAAGTAGCGACTCTAAGAAAATCCCTTTTAAACAAGTATTTTGTCACTTTCAAATTTGAAAAGCCTTTTGAGCTTCAAAAATTTTTTATATCTTTAAAATGGGTTAGTGAGGTGAAAAAAGGGGTGTGACAGTAACAGCTAGTTCTGTGATGATGGTTCTCTAGAAAATATTTCAGTGAATATTCCCGGTTGTACTATTTAGAGTTTTGTAGCCCGTGTACCCTTATAAATAAAAATATGTATAGTTGTAGAGGGGATTGAACATTCATTGTAGAAAATAATATATAGACATTCTCAGAAAATTCTTCCTTCATCATACACATACAAAGTTCACGTTTTCCTCATATCTTTATCTATCATATCTCCCCCTATCCAAGAGGATTCGAATATTAAAAGGCTCGTCATTATCATTGGGGAATTTCACCTTTGTCGGGTGACTTCTATCCATTTATTTGTTTAAATGTCATTTATTGATATTTATTGCTATCGTCCATATTCTTGAATCATTTATTATATCATTATCATTGTCATTTATTGCTACTCAATAACACATGTGAGATCTTATAGAAAAAATATCTGGTCTATCTTTTGGGTATTAATATTGGCTAAGATTAACCCTACTTCACTATAAATTTGATTGATAAACCTAGATTTAAATTTTGGATCATAAATTAAGGAAACTAAAGGGAATCTTACATAAATGTCTCAAATAAGCCCTAACTTACCAACCTCTAGCCATTAATCATAGACTTACTAAAACTAACCAAGCACATATAAAAATTAAAAATCCAAAAAAAAAATTTCTTTCTCTTCAAAAATCACATGCAAAGATCTCATTCCATAATTTTAAGCGTGATCAACAATATTATATGCAAGACGGGAAGGAAATTCATGGGTGAGGTAGCAAATAAGGTGATGAAATACAAAATAAATATATACAAGATTCCAAAAGTCTAAGCAAAAAAAAGATCTTTTTTCAATGGGTATAGTTGAAATTCATTGAAAACATATAGATGAGTCAATATACAAAATTTGAGAAAGATTGGAGGTGATTTGGATTGATTTGGTATCAAAATTCGTAGTTAAAATCGAGTTCAAAAAATACTTCTATGACGCATGTATCGCGCATGTATCACACACATAGGTATACATGTGATACATATTTGATACAAATATGATACACATGTGATACACAAATAATACAACGTGTGATTCATATATCATTTTTTTCATGTTCATCTTCTACTTCGAATTTCAATTCAAACAACCTCAAAACTCTACCAAATCATCCCAAAACTGAGATTCAAACTCCTTACGATGTAACCAATCTATTCTAACAAAACCTACTCAAAAAAAAAAGCAAACATTTAACCTTTTTTGCTACAAATAGCTAATTGGCTAATATTGATAACATTTGGCTAATATTAGTAATATTTTGTGAATTGGCTAATTTTTGTAATAAGCTACTTATAAATGGACAGGTAGTTTCCCGAAACTAAATAGGCCTAATTATAACGCTGGTCAAAATTACAAAGCTAGAGTAATATGCCAAATTACAAGCATAGCCGTCCAATTACAATGGTATAATCTTTAGTTGATGGCCGAATTATAAATACAGCCGCCAGATTAAAAAAGTAGCCTTCAATTGAAGTACAAAGTCCTTGATGGCTATTTTCGTTTATATTAATGCACCTCAAATTATATCTAAATCTCAGGCAGTGACGAATTTATGGTTTCTAACAAACAAAACAAGGCAAATAAAGCGAGCCAAAATAAATAAAACTGCTCCAAACAGAGCATTTTTCATCCTTGAGCTGAGATGACGCAGGAGAAAACCTCGCAACTTTGTACAACAAAATTTGAGACAGTGAAACAAATACAGCATGGAGTAAATAATGAATTTATCAGCTACTTTCAATCAAATAAATCAAACAGCCATAGCGGCATTAAATGAAAATTTGGAAATTTTGGTTGAACTTTCTGAAGTTAATAATGACCTGATCCTTCCCTTTAATTAGTTGCGTCCCTGGTGCAAGTTGGGTTGGTCAAGTTAGGGAACACGCTATGGAGTCTTCCTCATTGATACATTTATCTATACGTTTTATCTTTTAATGTAAAGAAAGAGGATGATTCATTTGAATCTGATGATTATGAGGACATACGAGATACTCTCTCCGTTTCAAATTAGACGAGGTACTTTTCTTTTTAGTCTGTTCCAAAATAAATGACACATTTTTAAATTTAAAAATAATTTAACTTTAAACTCTTCGTTGAGAAGCTTTTATAATCACATCAATGTCATGGTCCCACAAAACTTTTACCCTTTAAATTTTTAAGACCACAAGTTTTAAAAGCCTTCTTCTTTTTCTTATGTAATGGTAGGTGGACTGACAAAGAAATAGCTATACACCTTTGTGCTTTACGAAATACCCAAAGTCAAATTAATTACACCTTTGTGCTCATCTATTTTTATACTTCATCAGTTGGAATTTATATGAGGTAGTTGATTCGACACGGAATTTAAGAAAAATTTGTGATCTTAAAGGTTTAAGGGATAAAAGTTGTGTGGGTCATGACATTTGTATAGTTATAAAAGTTTTTCATTAAGGGTAAAATGTGTAAAATGAAGAGTTTAAAGTTGAATTATTTTCAAATGTAAAATAATGTGTCATTCTTTTTGGAATGGACTAATAAGAAAAATGTATCATCTAAATTGAAGCAGAAGAAGTAACTTGTACGCGGAGATAAGGCTTGATATGATGTAACCTTTTTATTTTCCCATGTTGAGCATTTTTAAGGGCAGAATATCCTAATAGACACCTGTACTTGTTTCCATTTGACATCCCGGTCCCCTTACTCTATAAAGTTTCAAGTGGACACTTGAACTTGTTCAAACATGATATTCTAAACACCTCCACGGCTGTGTGTGGCTCACTTGCTTGGCGTGGATGACACATCAGTGACCCCGTTAGATTTTTTATGATAAAATAACAATTTACTTTTTTTCACGTTATTTAAAAATTATCTAATTTCTTTTCATGATTTACTCCTTTATCTACTTCATTTTTCCTTCATGAAAAGTATCCTTCTATGGTCACACCATTGATGGAGAGCTCCATTAAATATTTACTTCAAAATTATAGATAAATAAACAAGACCCATCAAATATATTTACTCAATTTGAAGAAAATTCGAATATTTATTCAATGAATATTACCAATAAGACCATGATGATACCCTTTTTCAGTCACTATCCCATAGAAGTTCCAATGCAAATTAAACTTGAAAATTACAGCAAAATTAAACGAAATTCATCAAGAATCTTTACCCAATTCAAAGAAAGTTGGATTCTTTATTTACAAAGCATAGTTCTTACAACTTTAAGGAAATTGTGACGTACCATATGAGTGAGAGTAAAGGGGAATAAGGAGAAGAAAGTCAGAATCACATCTGCATGTAACAGAGAACCAATAAATCTTCATAAGTTTCATTTGAAACCCACCGGAAGAATGGAGAGAGAAAGAAAAAGATGAAAAGAAGAATGGAGGGGAAGAAGAAGAGAAATGAGGGATGGGGGAATGGACGACACTAACGAGGGAGGAGGAGGAAGGACACTCTTCAGCCCTTTTTTTTTTCTTCTCTCTTTTTAACTTTAATTTCTGCTTTTTATTTTTATTTTTTCCTTATCTTAAACTTTTAAATCAAAATTACCAGTGCTCACTCTCCTCATTCGCGTACATTACACGCATATTATCCAGTTCAATTTAGTTAATACCACATAAGTTTCAATGGTCGAAAGGGTTTAAAATAATATATTTAATCAAGTTCAGGTGTCCACTTGAAACTTTATAGAGTAAGGCAACCGGGATGTCAAATGGGAACAAGTACGGGCTATATGGGTATTCAACTACCTCTTGTTTAATGTCTACTAACAGCCAGCTGGAGCTTATCAACTCATGGATCATGCACGGTACGTTACACAGGCAAGTCTACAAACCATAGCTTATTCATACATCTGAAACACGTTTTTCTATTTAAAAATATGTACATCTTCAGTTCACTAATTCACACCTATAAATGTACGTCTTAGATTATAACCATCACAGCATAGTAAACACCGAAAAACTCCTAGCAAGTCCCATAGCAATATGACAACTCATAAAAAGAGCAATATGGCAGACCATTTGGAGCCTTGGCGCCAATTGCAAGGCAAAGTGGTGTTTGTCACCGGTGCATCGGCGGGGCTCGGCCGTGAATTCTGCCTTGACCTTGCTAGGGCAGGCTGTAGTGTCGTGGCGGCCGCCCGTCGGGTGGACCGCTTGGAATCCCTTTGTCATGAAATTAATACAATGGCAAGTTCAAATACTCAACTTGTTAGAGCAGTGGTTATTGAACTTGATGTTACTGCTGATGGTCCAACTATTGAAGCATCTGTAAAGAAAGCTTGGGATGCTTTTGGCTACATTGATGCTCTTATTAACAATGCTGGTGTTAGAGGTAACTTATGTAGGTTAGGTTTAATGTGTGTACAAAGTATTGATAGGCTGGACGACTTATACTATAAGTAGGACAAAAACCTTTCACCAGAAATGAAAGAATTCTTTAAAAAGATTTTTTTTATCACTTTAACAAGTAACCCCTTTTTAGCATTTAATTTGAGAAAAAGTGCTATGGTAAGGTCAGTTCCTATAGTCAACTTTATTGGTAAAGTACTAAGGTTGTAAACTTCAGATAAGTAATTCTGCATGATACTCATAAAATACTCATATTTGACACTTGTAGTGGAGCTAGAAATTCATACAATAATAATAATAAAAGAAAAGGTCACATATGAGATTTCAACCTGTAACCTATTTACTTAAAAAAAAAACTGTAACCTAAAACAATCTTTGAACTCCTCGGCCATTAAAATAAAATCTCCCCTTACGCCAAAGTGGATTAAAAAGTTTATACATAATTAAAAAAAAAACTTATTTTTGCACTATTTTCAGAGTATAATTTTCTGGCAAAAGAAATTCAATTGAACCACAAGCTAGCTCCGCCCTGTCCACACTTGAGGAGAAAATGCAATACTTCATCGGTTCATCCCATCTTAAAATAGAGAATTGACGAGTGAACTTTTACTAGGAGAATTATTTGGAGTAATTACTTAAGAGTTTATGGTTTTCTTTTTTGAACTTTTAGATAACCTATTCATCCCAAAGAGAATTATTGAATTTGGTAGGCTGCTTTAGCTCCATAATCTGAATCTACTTTTGTGTTTATAGGTGGAATAAAATCAGCAGTAGATCTTTCTGAGGAAGAGTGGCGCAATACTTTACAAACAAATTTGACAGGATCTTGGCTAGTTTCCAAGTATGTTGGAAGACATATGAAAGCTGCAAAAAGGGGAGGCTCCATTATTAATATTTCATCTATTTCTGGTTTAAATAGAGCTTTAATGCGTGGGGGAATTGCCTATAGCTCCTCCAAGGCTGCCATGGATTCCATGACAAAGGTTATAACCTAATGTTGAAACTTATCTTACCCAAGGAAAAAAGTTCCAAATGATAAAAACTAAGGTGCTTTTGATATGAAGTTATTTTCTGGTGTTTGATTGTTATAAAATGTCTTTCAGGAAAAATAGTTTCCATCGAACGGGAAAAATGACTTCCATCATTTTCCATCGGAAGTTATTCTCCTTGACAATTATCCCAAGTTTTCTACATAAAGAATCATTTATTAAAGTTCGATAATAATATAATCAATTTTGAATACACAATTTTTAATCAAACACTTATTTGCTATATTATTATCGAACTTTAATAAATGATTCTTTATGTAGAAAATATTTTCAACTCTCCAACCAGAAGGCATTTCGTTAAAAAAATATTTTCCATAAAATGATGTTCGTCATACCAAACACACCCCTACTCCTTTAAATTTTATGAAAAGAGAAAGTTGAAATAGTGCTAACTTTGTATGAATTATAACTTTCGTCGCTTCTAATTTATTTCTTAAAAATATCTGTTTTCTTAGACTAACATTTCTTGCTTTCCCATCTTCGGAAATCTCTAAATTGACATTTTGATATATCTGTACGTTTGCAGATAATGGCATTAGAATTGGGAGAACACAACATTAGAGTGAATGCAATAGCTCCAGGGCTTTTCAAATCGGAGATTACTGAGAAACTAGTAGAACAAGATTGGCTAAAGAATGTAGCAACAAGAACTGTTCCACTGAAAACTTTTGGAACCACAGATCCAGCATTAACTTCACTAGTGAGATATTTGGTCCATGACTCTTCCAACTATGTATCTGGCAATATCTTTATTGTTGATGCTGGTTATACTCTACCCGGCCTCCCTATCTTTTCTTCTCTATAAGTTATTATCACTTGAAGAGGAATTGTAGTATATTATTGATAAAATATTTTTCTTTTATTAGGAATGTGGTGTTAATATTTCTCTATAACTTCACTAGGCAAACATTTTTCAATAATACAATATAATATTTTCCTTTTTTATGCTGTAACAACTCTGAAATGGAATGGCAAGGATCTGAACATGAATGGATCCCTGCAATTGCCTTTTAATGTGAAGGAATTCATGAATCTTGTTTTTGAGTAGTTGTCCCAAAATGAAAAGGTTGAGATTATCCAATAATCTCATGGTTAAATCCATGTCTTTACCCATATGAAACCAACACACACCCTTTATGGGTTGTTGTTCATCTTTATACAGTGCTAGAAATTAGAGTACAAGTAATATTCTTACATATATCTACTTAATCTTGTTGGAAGAGTCGAACTCAGACACAATAACTAACAGTCACTAGGCTAATTTCGTCCAGGAAAACCGACCAAAATCGGTCGGAAATGGAGAAAAAGCGACCGATTTCCGACCGCTTTTAATTAGTCGGAAAAATTATGGTCACTAAGGAGTTTCAACCGAAATCGGTCGGAAATTTCCAACCGAAAACGGTCGGTTTATTCAATGCGTTGACTGACAGTCAAACTGCATTTACCGACCGAAAATCAGTCGGTATTAATTAAATTTTTTTTTATTTAATTTTCAAAATACTAACCGAAATCGGTCGGAATTTTAAATATATAATAATTTTATTTAAATATATAATTATTTGTAAATTGTAATAAATTGTTAATTTATTTAAATTCAAAATTTCCGACCAACTTCGGTCGGAAATTTTGAATTTCTGGAAAAAAAAATGAGATTTCCGACACCACCTGCCAATTACAACCAATATCCATCCTATAATGGCAGCATTACATTGCTGCCATTCAACCATAATTAACCAACAACAACAACAACAGTTAACCAACAACAACAATTAACCAACAACGCTAATAACAACCACAACCACAACAACAACGCTAATAACAACAACGCCAACCACAACAACAACTATACAAATGTTCAATAACAAAATACTACCAATTAGAGCCTATAACAACCAAAATTGACAAGTGATTATGCCGAAAAGCTGAAACTTTAATTAAAGAGATATGAGCATATAATTACAGAAGACTGGTATGATACTACCGATCCAAAGATCACAACCATGAGTAATGAACAAAAGAGAATGAACTGTGAATTAACTGCAAGTAATTCATCAACTTAAATTCTTAAAATGGACAATGTGACAAAATGTAATGTTCTATTCAGCTTGATGTTAACCCTTCACAAAAAGCAGAAACAAACTATAACTTTTGACCTTGAATCGGAGGAATTAAGATAGCCCAGGAATTAAACGAATGCATCAGCAACCAGCAAAGGGAGTAGATTTCATATGGTAAACGCCAATAAGGGTGTGCACCACAACCAAAAGTTAGTTGTCAACCTCCTTTTCTTTTTTCTTTGGAATTATAGCAAGACTATAACTCCAGTAGAGTACAGGCCCGACATTCTCCTTTGCCACACCAGGCTTTGTGTGTGGCAGAAAGGTTCGAACCCATGATATGGGACTAACTCACAAATAAACTGAAACAAAGCCCTATCGCAGTTACCAGATTAATCTTTGCACAAAATAGAAACTACATACTTATTTTCTGGACTAAGGGTACATGGACAAGAGCTCATAGAAGAATGCATGAGCCACCACAAAGAAAACAAGCAGATAATTCTTATGCCAATAAACAAGCAGATAATTCTTATGTCAACAACAATATAAGCAACATGTTAATAAACTAATTGAATCTAAAGCACAATCTAGCAGTTAATTGAATCAAATAACTAACAGTTACTAACACTAAACGAAACAGAGGATTCTTATCAAAGACGACGACAATATAAATAACATGTTAATCAACTAATTGAATCTAAAACACAATCTGAATAACCTGAACTAATAATAATTCAAACTAATATACTCGAGTCTAAACCGATAAAGCGACTACTCGAAGTTGACAGAATCAGTAGCGAGGGACGAAATAATATGGCTAACTCGAACATATAGACGACTAAACTAAGAATCACCGAGAGAAGACTAACATCACTGATTCACAACTACAAACGACTAACTAATAACGCCAACTCAAACAAACGAGTAACCAAATTGACAAGTGATTATGCCGAAAAGCTGAAACTTTAGTTAATTATCAGGACGAGCTAAACATGAACTAACAGAAACTATACTTGAAGTTTACAAACTTGAATCTATAACTAATTTCAAACCACTAGCAGAAAATATGAGATAACCGATCGAAACAAAGAACTAAAAGAACGGACAACATAATAATTCAAAATCAACAAACGACGACTAAAATCACTAATTAAGAAGAAGAAAAAAAACAGAACTTAAACTAAACAAATAAAAACAATCTCAAAATCAGTCAACAAAGAAAGACTAAAATTGATGAACAAGGGATTTGGATTTTACCTAAACGCTCGGGCTTCAAACCAGTAGTACAACACGACTAGACGGCGAATCGATCTCCACACCTCTTTTTCTCGATGTCAAATGCCAAAAAATACAAACTTTGGCAAAACAAAGTTGATTCCAGCACTGTGGCAAAGAGAAAGAGAGGCCACGAGGTCGTGTTCATGCTAGAAAAGAGGCTCAGTAACGGCAGGAGGTAGCTGGCCGGAATTCGGCGGAATTGTGGTCGGATTTTGGAGGGGTTTTGAAGGTTTTGGGGCATGGAACGGAGAAGAGGAGAGTGAGAGGAGACCGGTGGTGTAAAAATTTTGGAGTTTGGGGTGGTGAGCGGCGCCTAGGGTTTCGGTTAGGCATAGATTTACGGGGATTGAGAGGGATTTAAAGGATTTGGGGTTTGGATTCATGGAAAGGAGGTTGAGAGGAAGAAAGGGTGAAATTTTGGGGTGGTTTGGACGACGGCCGCCGCCTGTGGGCGATTTTCGGTAGCGGAACACGGCGGCCGATGGCTGGTCTGTGGGAGTGGGGAAAGGGAGGAGAAAGAGAAGAGAAGGGGAAATAATAAGGGGGGAAATGAGGGGAAATTTTGGCGCGTTTGGGCCGCTGATTTGGGGCCAAATTTGGTCCAATTCCGTAATTGATTTTTAAATTATTTATATAATTGATTTAATTACAATATTGACCGAAGTCCGTCAGTTTTTGTCAAATTATAATATTTAATATTAAACTTATATATATATTATATTATATTATATTAAAAGCGCAAATGCCCTTAACAAAATGTCGTTCGCCTTTTTTACCCTTTAAAAGTAGAGTTCACACTAGGTAAAATAGTCATTTAATTAATTTTCTATTATGTATGAATATGCATTTAATTATTTTCCTAATAATTAGCACTTTGAGTAATTAATGTTATCATTTAATTATTTTCCTGAAATTTAGTACTTTGAAATCAACTAAAATTTTAATACTTATTAAATCTTTCCTTATTTGAACTAAAATTATTTTTTTTAATTATATTTGAAGTCCTTTCCTTGTGTGTATGGACGTACAACATTAATTTGAGATATGATTGTCACTATAAATTTGTGAATCAATTTTTATTTAAATCAAGGGTTTACCACATAAAAATATTATTTTCCCCTAAGACTCTTAATGTTGTGTATATTTGAAGAGTAGTTAGCGTAAAACATAAATATGATAAAGAAACTTTAAAATGCAAATCTTAGATGCTTTGAAGTNCCACATAAAAATATTTTTTTCCCCTAAGACTCTTAATGTTGTGTATATTTGAAGAGTAGTTAGCGTAAAACATAAATATGATAAAGAAACTTAAAAATGCAAATCTTAGATGCTTTGAAGTGCATTATGCATTTATAATTACCTCCAAGACCATCAAGCAAAGTTAATAACCATTTATATATTATAGAACAATACTATTGAATATTTAGCTTAGGGACTTGGTTTACGGCAGTTTAAAGCAATTTAGTTATAATTTTATTTCTTCGAAAAATAAAAAATTTATTTTTTAAAGCAATTTTAGAGGTTTTATCCTGATGAATGAACCCGTTTCGATATCAATAATTTATTCTCTTATTTTAATATTTGTAAGTTTTCCTCTTATAATTTCATACTTGAATTCACCGTACACAACCATATAAAGTATTATGGTCATACCTCAGAAATTTTGCAAAGTGCAAGCTACATTGATCTCTCCCCAAGTATCAAGGTAGCATATCTACAAGTAGTTTACTTAATAAACTCAATAGTATTTGTTTGGTATTCCTGTTGTTATCAAAAACTTATTTTCTTTGATCCTTCCGTGCTCTTAGATTACGTCTTTCTATTTGTTAACAAGAGATATAATTTTGTAACGTGACTTAATTTTTCTTGAATACTTTTGTCTCTTCTATTTTTGATTGCTTATATTTTTCGTTTGTTTTTTTGATGTGGTTTGGTATTTAGTGGTCGAGTCACATTCAAATGAATAAAAACTTTGGAAAATTAATGCGCAAATAGGGAAAAATATTTCTTTCATATGTATAAGCTTTTGATTTTCATCTACTTTTTCAAGTTTGAAATTTTTGTGAAACACNATCAATTGGAAATTCAATTATATTCGATTAAATCTTACTATAACACATTTAAAAATAAAGTGTAATATATGCTATATTCATATGTTATTGTTGCTAAAACTTAAATAATATTAATATAGCACTACATCTTATAGAACACTACATCTTATAGAATTATACACTTTATTTTTAAATGTGTTATAGTAAGATTTAATCGAATATAATTGAATTTCCAATTGATCCACTTATGAAGTATACGAGCAAAGTACTAATAAGGTGACGCATACATACATAGGATATAATGTCCATATAAAAGTAATTTAAACACACACACACACACACACACACACATATATATATATATATAGTATTAAATATTATTTATTTAAAAGCTATTTATATAAAGGTTGACCAAAACCGACCGACTTCGGTTAGTAATATTGTTAAATTTATATTTTAATTATTTTAAAATTATTTTTCCGATCGAACTCGGTCGAAAATATTTAATTATAACTTATTCCGGTTGATAAATTAAATATATATAATTTTTGTTATATTAAAAACCAATTGTCTTGGGCGGGAAAGCATAATTTCAAATATTCCGACCGAAATCGGTCGAAAATTTTGAAAAAATTTAATAAAAAATTATTTTTGTAGATTATATACAAGTATGACCAGGCCTTGGTCAAATATTGACCAAGTTTCGACCGAAATTGGTCGGAGTTTTTATTTTTCTGCTGTGGGACCACTATTTCCGGTGTCAGAAATATTTTCTTTGACTTTTGCGACCAATTTACTTAATTTTCGATCGATTTCGGTCGGGTTTTTTCGACCGACTTCGGTCGGTATTCTTTGGACTAATTTTGCCAATTTTCTAGTAGTGAGTGGCTTGTTGGAAGAGTCCAACTCAAATACAATAACGACAGTAGCAGTACATTAACATGCCCCTTTAAACTGACATGATTGAAAAGAAATGTGAAGCTTGTCACGAAGAATTGAAAACTGATGAGATGATAAACTTTTAGAGAGAATGTCTATAAATTATCTGTTAGTAGATATATAGCGAACCAAAATAGAACCAGATGTAACATGTTCCCGAATAAAGTAAAAATTCATCTCCAAATATTTGGTATGATCATGATAAACATGATCAGTAGACAAATATAAAGCACTAATATTATCACATATTACCAAAGGGGGCTCGGAAATAGAATTACCCAAGTCACAAAGCTGATGTTGAATCCATGTTAATTCAACTATGGTATGAGCTAAGGCTCGATGTTCGGCTTCAGTACTAGAGCAAGAGAAGTAGATTGCTTCTTACAACTTCAAGATATAAGATTTGGACCAATAAAATGACAAAACCAGTAGTTGATCAACAGGTGTCCGACACCCGGTCTAATCAGCCTCAAAGTAGGCCGTTAGAGAAAAAGATGAGGAAGAATGTAGATTAAGGCCAAGGGGTTATCGTACCAGCAAGGTAGTGAAGGATCTGTTTAACAATAATAAAATAAATGGTTCGAGGAGCACTCATGAATTGAGATACAATATTTAAGCATATGAGATGTCATGCCTAGTAATAGGAAGATACTACAAGGCACCTACAAGACTGCGATAATACGAAGGATCAGAAAACAAATGACACTCATGTGCAGATAGTCGAGAACTAGCTGTAGGAGATAGAATAGGTTTACAATTAAGTAAAGATGCACAAGAAAGATGATCACGAGCATATTTAGCTTGAGATAACCGGAGACATTTTGAAGTTTTTTGTAATATGAACACCTAAAGTGTAATGAAGAGGACCAAGATCATTCATAGAAAATTAAGATTTAGCTCTGATACCATGATATGAAACCAGCGCACACCCTTTCTTTCCGTCTTCTTTTTTGCCAGGGGTAGATCTCTTAGATTAAGATAGGGTTGGTAGGCCCTTAGTCCATTCCCAATGATCCTCTCCTGGTAAATTGCTTGGGGTTTCGGACCATTGCTATTTTATTTTCTAATTATTTCTTCAATTAAGAAAATGAAAGAGAATAAATAAGATTCTCTTAGTTCATTCAGAAGGATCTCATAATTTAATTATCCATGACTGTTTACGTTTCTAGCATGACCACTTGATGAAATCTGGAGGGAAGTAGGGTAAATGGCTGATATTACAGGAAGGATTCCTCTTTGGATATGATAGTAGCAAGCATGTTGTTGTATGTGAAAGAAAGAAAAATAGACAAAACAAAAAAAATAAAAATAAAAAAGAGATGAACTTATGATGTAAGCGCTTACATCGGCATTCGTATGATGTAAGCGCTTACATCGGCATTCCTATGATGTAAGCGCTTACCTCGACAGAGCATTCAAATGCCTATAAAAGGGGTATGCATTTTTATTTGCAAATCATCCCTCAACTTCTTCTTCCTCTCTTCAATTAATAAAGAGTTATTCTTTGTGTGGTTGTGGAGTAGGCAAAATTGCCGAACCACGTAAATCTTGTCTTGTGCAATTTATTGCTTCTCTTTCAAATATTTTTCCCTTCTATTAGCCTGACATATTTCCCAACAACTGGTATCAGAGCACAGATAGTGTAATTCTAGTAGAAAGAACGGTAGTGGTGCAGGTACTATTCACAAAAATAGTGCGACATTATTGATAATCGTTACTATTCACAGACACTATTCACATAAAATATTTTTGTGAAAAATGGCATCGGACGAAGGCAAGGTTAAGATTGACAAGTTCAATGGCAAAGATTTTGGGTTCTGAAAAATGCAAATAGAGGATTATTTGTACCAGAAAAAATTACACTTACCTCTAACCGAGGTAAAACCAGAGAATATGGCCAAAGCGGATTGGGATCTATTAGATCGCCAAGCTCTTGGTGTGATTCGTTTGACGCTGACACGAAATGTGGCGTTTAACATCATTAACGAGAAGACCACTGCAGGTCTGATGAAGGCGTTATCAAATATGTACGAGAAGCCATCTGCTTCAAATAAAGTCTATTTGATGCATCAATTGTTCAACTTAAAGATGACAGAAGGTGGATCTGTTACGGAACATATCAATGAGTTTAATGTAATATTAACTCAGTTGAGTTATGTTAATATAACATTCGACGACGAAGTCAGGGTGTTGATTCTACTATCATCTCTACAGGAAAGTTGGTCTGCAATAGTAACTGCAGTTAGCAGTTCATCGGGAAGTACCAAACTCAAATTGGATGATATTAGAGACTTGGTTCTAAGTGAAGATATTCGCCGAAAAGAATTAAGTGATTCCCCAGGATCTTCTTTTAATATCGAAAGCAGGGGGAGAAGCATCCAAAAAGGACAAAGTCATAGCAGATCAAAGTCAAGGAGAAGAGGGCAATCCAAAAATCGCAAAGATATCACGTGTTAGAATTGCGATAAGAAGGGTCACTACAGTAGTCAGTGTAGAGAGCCAAAGAAGAAGAAGAACGATCAATACAAGGATGATAATT